GCCCAGTCTCAATTGTCCTCTCAGCTTGCACCAGGGGCAGGGCCAGCACAGCAGGCCTGGGGTCTCAGACTTATTCTGATAAGTCTGGTAATAAGTGTAAATGCCCTGTGTAAACTGATGCCCTGTGTAAACTCAAAGGCAAGAACATAAACAGGCTGGGATTATATTTTTTCCCCCCCTATGCCACAATGTTAGAAGCCAGGGCCTCAGGCAAAAGTGCTGGTGCCTCTGGCAATCCGTAGGCAGGCAGTCAGGCACCCTAGCCACCCTCCCCCACCCATGTCTGATAAGAATCAAGATCCTGAGTCCTATGAAAAGGCACCCTGAGCACAGCTGGGGTTGTGCCTAGGTGACTCTCCTGGAGGCATCAAGGGCTCCAGGTCCTGCCCCTCATGCTAAGGAGGGTGAGCAGTTTACTTCGAGGTCTGTTGTCTTACATTTCTTTGATAACAGATATGAACCTGTTGCAAAAATTGATGTTTCTTTTCAGAAATATTTTGCTTTTAATGAAAGCCTTTGAAGCAAGGCATGGCACTCTCGGCAGATGAGCAACTCTGGTGACATACCCTAAGCCCCAGGGATGGGATGGGATGGGATGGGATGGGATGGGATGGGATGGGATGGGATGGGTGGGGACTTGGAAGTAGAATGTGTACTGGTTTAAGGAAATGAGTGAAAGTAGTAATTTGGGAAAAAAAGGAAATCAGGGTTATCTGGCGGCATTTAGAATCAGTAGTAGTTGGTGCTACCACAAATGAACCTAGGTATAAAGACATACTCATGATACAAGTAAGCTAGATTTATAACAAGTTATGCTTACAATATGTAAGAAGTATAGGACTAGCTTTCTTCTATACACATTATACACACCTTAGTGTCTTTCCCAAAGACCTTGGAGTGAAAACAAATCCAGTTTTCTGACACAAAGAGCTTTCCTTGGTACAGGATTTCTTTCTGTAGAGCACAGGTAAAGCCTGGGAGAACACAGTGAGGTGTAATGACATAACTCAGAATTCCATTAGAATATTATTTAAAATAAAAACTTGATATTTTGGTGACTCAAACATGGGCAGGGATGATACACTCATGCTCCAAATCTCTAACACCCAGGGCCAGGGAGATGGCTCAATAGAATAAGTGCTTCCCTGGCAAACACAAGGGCCTGAGTTCAATCCCCGGTTCTGGGAAAAAAAAAAAAAAAAAAAAGAGCAAATCTCTCACACCTTCTTTTCAATTACCTTTAGTGGGCTAAAGCTGCTGTCACTATAGTTTTTTAATTTAAAGTCATACAGAATCAAGACCAGAAGGCGAGTTTACCATTATACATTAGAAACCAAGAAAAGTACTTCAAAAAGTACTCTGTTTAGGAAGACACATTACTCACTTGCTGTCCTTCCTTCCCAGGCAGCTGCACTCAGGACTCAGTAAGGAACCCCACAGTCTTGTGGGGGAAGGGCACACAACTATGCGCTCTGCCTGGAGAGCACAGCAGGACCCTAGCACTTCACAGGCAAGAGGTAAACTCGGCTCCTGCCTGAGGCTTCCACTGACCCTGACCTGGTTGCGGGGAAGTGCTCAGACTGAAGCCCACCTTCTGCACAGCACAGGTATTAAAACAGCTCTCCACTTAGCCTTTAGCTCAAGAGGCCTCTCTGGCCCAGGCTTGTTACTCTACACCTCGGGATGCCTCACTCTTATGCATTTTAACAATAAATACAAAAGGTGAAGAGATCACTCTGGGCCACGCCTGGATGAGTCCACATGCCATGAAGAGATTCAGTTTCTTGGTCTACACCCTCATCTCTCAAAGTGCTTGGTGAAAGAAGGCTGTAGCCACATCATCACCACTAGTCGACTCCCTTGGTGACGGCGTTCCCAGAACATGCCCTCCACCTCCCCAAACTGACAGTAACTTTTCAACCACAGCTCAGACTGTCCAAGAGGTCAGCACTTACTTTGCCTCAGCGGCTCCTCAGTTGGGACATCGAGAAACAACTTGTGAAAGTGCATGTTTGCTTTATACTACAAGGAGGACAGAACATAGACATTGTTACGTATTTTTAAGGAACATCAGAATTTGTAACTCCCACTTAAATTAAATAATGAATTTTCCCTCTAGCTTTAAGAACTTATTCTCTCTGATCTAAGTCTTCAACACAACCCTTCACTCAGACACAGAAGTCCAGGTATAGATTTTTCATTTTTAAATATGATTAATGCCTTCCTAGGTGGGCATAGGGTGTAGCTGGTAGTCAGCTGGAACAACAGGGCAGGACAAGGATATTCTTGGCAAGAAATGAGAGAAAATGCTGAAGAGTCTAACTGGCGAAGGTACTAGATCACAGGGCACTACAGACACCAGTGTGCACCCGCAGAAGTGCCTAGGGGTTCAAGGCTTCATATGCAAATAAACCTGAATTAGCTCTCTTGGCTCTACTTCTTTCTTGGTGTGTGACAAAGCTAATGTATTTGTACCTCAGTTTCCTCTTCTGGACCACTGGGCAAAAATATAACCTGCTAGGAGGGATACCACAGGCGTCTGTGGGATAACACATCTAAAAAACCCACTGTCTGGGACAATGCGTGGTCACTACTGTGATGCTGTGACAAGAACACACAAGTGGACCAGGAAGATTTGATACAAGAGACTTAAATCCCAGGGTAGCAGAAGGCCCAAGGCTCTGAAATGTGACAAACAGCTTCATATTTCAAGGTGTTTGTCTCTGCAATACTAAGGGTAGCCAGCAATTTGCCAGTGCCCCTTCCAGGGCTTGGACACTGAGCTCGGAATACTGAATCATGTGGCCCCCTCAGCATGGCATAGCCCTAAGAAGCAGTGAGGTTTTTCTTCCACAGGACTCCTCCACCTCTTAGGAGGCTTTCAGAGAAGTCAGAAAGGAACAATAGCCAGATATGTGCATAAGCCCTAGGAGGGGTAAGAGGTCCAAAGGTAATGATAATAGCAGAAACCTTGGGCTCAGTGCAGCCGTAGTTCAGAGGTAAAATACAGTCTCAGCATGCAAGAGGCCTTGGGTTCAATTTTCACAACTAAAACCAAAATCCCCATGCTCCTGGCCCAAGTAAATACATCACACTCTATGATAAAACTGGGTTTTGCAGAGATGAAATTACTTCTGAAGAATCATGACTCTGCTCATAGGCCTTTCTTTTCGAGCTGGTTTCTTATCATACTAATTTTTATATAAGGATATCCACCTCCCTTCTTGCTCATTAGATAAATCTGTAACCACGTTAGGCTCTGCTGTCTGAGGGCTCACTGGAGTTAGAGGCCACACACAGCACTGCATGAACCGCCCCTTAGTGGGAGCTGAGAGGTGAGCTGTGGAGCCTGGCATCAACGAAAAACGGACCCAAGAAACTGCTGCCTGTTTTATCTTCTGAATTCTGCGAATTTAACACCTATGTTAGCTTTGGTTAGCAGGAAGCTGCGTGCCTGGGTTTCTTTATTTCCAGTGGCTCCAATTCATGTCACTCTCTGTGACAACACACATTCTGTTCCTGTTACCTGGCTGGAAGATGAAGACTTTTTCCTTTCAGTCTTAGAGTCATTTTTGCTTTCTGTTTTACAGTTGTTCTTGTCACCTGCTACAGAGGTGCCATCAAAACTGGACTTTGATCTAGGGAAATAAAATTCAAGGAGACTGTAAAATGGATCAGCTTAGTGTAATCACTGTTGTAATAAATCTCAATTATTATACCAAGTCACGAGAAAATCTGACATTTGTTTTTCTCTCCTAGATAATCATTAATGACGCTCTGAGGGCACTTAGCCAGCACATACGGTAGGGCTTGGAATGATGTCTGCAAAATAATAATGAACTGCTGAGTAGCAAGTAAGATGGGAAAATAATTATATTATTTAAAAGTATTAGCTAAAAAGTACTTCAATCTGTATAAAGACATCTGGTTGAGGCAAATTATTAAATTACAATTGTAATCCAATCAAAGAATACTTTTTTCAGAACCTACTGATATTTAGCAAGTGTTAATTGAACTGAGTGAGGCATTGCATTAAGTGCTCCGGGGGCACAGGACAGTCTTTGTGCCCAGGGAGCCTGTGTACACAGGCGTCACACATCTGCATGACTTAGCGTCTACCACTGAGCAAAGAGAATGGGGGCAGTAGGTGTGAGGGACGAGAGGAGACCAGTGCAACGGCATGAGGTGCACAGAGGGCTGAACAGGATGAGCAAGGAAGTAGGCACGAGGAAAAGAGGCAAGGCAAAGAAAATAACAAAAGTGAAATAAAAAGAAGGAAAAAAGAAAGGAAGAAGGATAGAAGAATAGAAGAAAAAAGATGGCAGGCAGGCAGGCAGGCAGGCAGACAGGTGCACATTTAAGCCCAAGTCTTTCTCGTCCTTTAAGGGCAGACAGAGCTCAGAGCTCCGGCATGGCCTCTGCTGTGACTGCGGTGCTGGCTCTCCACAGGAGCAGGCGTGGCTGCACATCTCCTCAGCCCTACAGCCAAACCAGTTGCTTCGGAGTGGAATGTACATGTGATTTCTAGAAGGAATGCACATGTGAACAAGTTTCACAATGTGTACCTGCCTTATTAGGACAATGGCACCCATGAAATCTATGATTCCTTATTATTATCCTTTAAAACAAGGCTCTGGATTTAGTTCAAGAGACTTAGGAAGAACGTGAAGCCATTCAGGTATGGTAGAGGGGCATGAATGACCAACCCTTTCAAAAGACATGAGGCATTGGTTTTCTTTGCTGTTACAAGATGGACCATATCATGTCCTAGGCGCCTTCTAACACTCCATGACACAACGTCAGGGTACGGGTAAAGTCTCTTCAGAAGTTTAGGGTAAGTGGATTTGATCTCAGCTGTAGGCCTTAAACCTAGCCACAGATAAAATTTTCCTAGGAATGCTAGATTACTTTTTTGGAAACTGAGTCAACAGTTGTGTCCTACTTAACAATACATTTTTTTTTTAATGTTTTTGGTTATTGCAGGGTCTCACAATGCAGCTCCATCTCATGGTGATCCTCCTGCTTTCAGCCTCCCCAGTATTGTGATTACAGGCGTATGCCACTATGCCCAGACTCTTGGCAGCTCAGCCCACCACAGGTGGGGCTGGTGCAGCATGTGGTGCCGGGGATCGAACCGCGGTTATTGCACTTGCCTAAATTTGCCTAAGCAGGCACTTTAGTCGGCTGAGCTATCTCACCAGCCCCAAGAATACAACTATTTTTTACAAATGTCAAATTCTATTTTAGTCACACTACCTACTAATTTAAATGTATCATCTCCATGGATTCTGCCAAGGAGATGGTCTGATCTTTTGAAGCAGTATGGAGTATAGGCAAATGGGACAAGCAGGGCAGCTCTGAGTTTGAAAATCTCACAGCAGTTGCTGACCTCTTTCAATAGTAGTGATTTCTTTGGGTCTGTCATTCCTACAAGTGCCTATGAGCACCAAATGCAAAATGGAAGCTTGGACTTCCTTACACTAAATTATTAAGACCTTCTAGACAGTATGTACAGAGCATTATTCTAGTGCAGGCCTCTGTGACGGCACGAGGTACGCACCCATACGGCAGCCTCCACCTGTACTGATGATGTGTGTACAGGGCTCATCAGAAACAGGGAGCTGGGGGTAAAACCAGTGTTGGCAAGCAGACTGCTATGGACAGTCAGCAGTGGTGAAAGATACCTGAAAGAGTGCATTCTGCGCCCTTTGGAGAAACTCATATAGTGACCAAGGCAGGATTCTCTGATGAAAACAATCTTAGTAAAATGATAAAAAGCAAAATGCCACAGCAAGCATCTAAAAAGGCTGATGGATAACAGGGAATTGGAATCTAAAGAGGGAAATTTGGGGGAAAGCTGAGGCTTACATTTGGTCTGAATGAAATGTAGATTTGGAAAAAAAAAATAGGGGCTGGGAGCCAGGGAAAAGGGGACCGGCATGAATTCATTAGCTGTCTCTTAGCAGGGGCCAAAGGAGGGAGAAGGCAGCATTCTGGGTTCTAATAATGGGGAAGGAGAGCAACTACTCCTCAGTAGAGATGAAAGACTGCATTTAGGGCAGGGGCTGGAACTCAGTGGGACAGTGCTGCCTGCACACTCAAAGCCTTAGTCAAGATCCAATACTGTAAAAAATCAAAATAAATCACAAACTCCCTGTACCCATCACTGACCCTTAGTTTTACTCCTCTCTTTAAAGGGCTAAAAAGCAACTATACAACCTTGCTGGGTCACTGGTGTGCCTACGGGTGATGGCTCTGTAGCTGCACGTCTCTACTCACTTCTCTGTTGGCCCCCAACCTAACCAGGCTTCCCTGTCAAGGACACAGCACCCACCCCCACTGCTGGAGTGGGGTCTCCTCCCCTCCTCCCTGTGGCTCCCAGGAGAGCCAGCCGGGTATGCAGAGCCAGGGGCTGAGCATGTTCTGAGCTGAGCTGTCCAGCCTTCCCAGGACCTCCTAAGCGACACCCCAGCGTGGCTTCACCTCAGCAGAATCCTTGTTTTCAGAATGAGGCGCCATTCTGCAGGAGACTGCGGCAGGAGGAGACAAGGCCACCGGCCCCTGCCAGGAAGAGGGAGGGAGGCAATCCCCGGGGCCTTTTATTTACCTTTAACAACAATATAAAACTAGAATTGCCAGCACTGCCCATAGCCCCAACAACAAAGAGCCCAGTGAAGACTCACCGCAGGCAAACGCTTCTCTTCTGGTCTGGGGACTCAGCCTCCATGGATGGGGAAGGTGACTGGGCTGTTGGAGACCTGCAGATCTTCTTTTTCTCATCCACACCATTCTCAGCCTCTGAGCTAGAGAAGAGAGTAAAGCGCTTCATCATAGACATCCAGAGGGAGGTGGGAGGCAAAGCGGTGAAGTGAAACAACCTCGCCTTTCCGAGGGAGGAATGATCCTTGGTCCGTCCCCACTGACAGGTTTATCAACTTTGACAGCTGTGACTTTTCCCAGTCTCCATTCTCACTCCCGATGACTGGAGCCTCAAGGGTAGTAGCTCCGATCACACCTGCTTCTTTGTAACCTCTGACCACACAAGAGCTCAGCTACCAGGACTGTGCCTGTGGCCCTGTGTGGCTTGAACTCTGCCCGTTTAGGTGTGTGCTGGGGCAGTAGATCACCTGGAGGTAGCAGATCACCTGAAGGCTGGGAGGGCCTCTGTGTGCAGGCCCAGAGCAA